GAACTTTTAATTAATATCTAGTTCTGTTAAGGTGGTGGCCAGCAGAGAGTAGAGAGAAAGAGCCAATCTATATGGGGCCCTGCTGTTAATTATCTAAAAATTGTTCAGAAACCCAAGTCACTGACTCACATAGATACAGGTATGTCTAAGTAGATGTAAGAATATAGTTGGATACAGACTACCAGTTATTTTGCTATACATTCCTAACATATAACATAAAAAATATTTTTAAAAATTACACCGGCTCAACTTACCTGAAACTTGGCACAGAGTAAGACCATTTCAAGTCCAAACATTTACCAAGTTCTCAGGAACATTCATAGTCTGCAAGTCCTTTTATGGCATCGCAAATAACCCCTACCCTGCTTTTTTCACTTTCTCTTTGAAGAAAGGGTAAATTTAGGCCTCTTTCACCCCTCCTACTATGCACTTAAAAGCAAAATTTTCCATTACATGTACATGTATATGTATTATCATTTTTATAATTTTTTTCTGACCCTCTTCTTTCCATTTATGCCCAAAAATAACTGCTTTCTACTCCATAAACACCCAAAAGAATTTTTAAGAAAAAAAAATTCTATTTTTAAACTGGAACTTAATTTGAGTGGTCAATGAAATAGGGGTAAAATAAGTAGTCTGTAACCAGTTGAAAGTAAGATGTCAAAGCCTGAATGTCAACTAAACTCCACAGATTTTGCTCTTTACTTTGTTGCATGCACGGATCGACATTAAATTGTATGTAATGATCTTCAAAAAACTCATCAAAGAATAAAAGTTATTTTTGTATAGAAGTATAGTGTCATAATATTATTTACACTAGACTTGCAGAGAAATGGTAAATTTCTATGACATGAACATTTAGTGTATGTTGCATAACAGTTCAGTATAAAGATGTAAAGAGTCAATGTAGAGCCCCTCATGGACCCAAAGCAGTATTTAGATAGTTCCCTAGAAGGTCTGTGTATCAAGAAGAAATTGTAATGTTTTGACCTATGGGTCTGGGTGTTCATACTAGGCAATTTACATGTACTTGTAGACATAACTTCATAAAAGGTTACTTAAAGATAGATTAGAATCGAGTAATTGATACATATAATTAAAATAATTGTCATGGGAAAGTAATTTCATTGGTAAGGGCAAAACATGAAATCCAGAAATGTCAGACCCCCACAGAATTTTACCGCATTGTTCTCCATTCCATGCTGTTATAGGGATGCAGTTTATCTTATCTCACGGAGAAGTTTTCCACGGAATTCTACCAGACAGACAGCCAAGTTTAAGTCTCCATGCTCTACGCAATCTAATTAAAATTAGATGTTAGATCCGCTCTCATACTTGCTACACTAACATAATAACATCTAACAGCATCCCATAGAGGGTGAGAGGTCAAATTCAGAACAGCTCCAGACTTATTCGCTTTGATAACGTCAACAAATATCCGATGATTTTGCCAGCAACAATTTGATTGGTTGATAGATTTTGACCTCTGACGTGACCCTCTAAGGGATGTTGTTAGATGTTGGTGTAGCGAGCATGCGAGATTGACATGTTCTCTACCTGAACTAGCTCTAACTGCAGCGGTTAACTGACTCGGGCTAACTCAAGAGGTAAATACTGTTATGTGATGCATTTGTGGAAGCAGATATTATGTTCATTATGTCATTTTTAGCTCACCTGAGCCGAAGGCCTAAGTGAGCTTTTCTGATCACATTTTGTCCGGTGTTGGTCTGTCAGTCTACCTGTCTGTCTGTCTGTCTTTATATAAACTTTTCACATTTTCGACTTCTTCTCAAGAACCGTTGGGCCAATTTGAACCAAACTTGGCACAAAGTATCCTTGGATAAGGGGGATTCAAGTTTGTTCAAATGAAGGGCTACACCCTACTTCAAGGGGAGATAATTGGGAATTAATGAAAATTTAGTGGCATATTTTATAAATCTTCTTCTCAAGAACCACTGTGCCAGGAAAGATAAAATTTATGGAGAAACATCCTCATGTAGAGTAGATTCAAGTTTGTTCAAATCATGACCCCCGGGGGTAGGGCGGGGCCAAAATGGCCGACCAGACTTTTACATAGAAATATATAGGAAAATTCTTTAAAAATCTTCTTCTCAAGAATGACAAAGCCATAATTCAACATATTTATATGGAAGTATGCAGAGGTAGTGTAGATTTAAGTTTGTTCAAATCATGACCCCCGGGGGTAGGGCGGGGCCCAAACAGCAGACCAAACGTTTTCATAGAAATTTATAGGAAAATTCGTTAAAAATCTTCTCAGGAATTACAAATCTACAATTCATCATATTTATATGGAAGCATGCTCAGGTAGTGTAGATTCAAGTTTGTTCAAATCTTGACCCCCCGGGGTAGGGTGGGGCATAAATGGCCGACCAAAGATTTATAAAGATATGTATAGGAAAATTCTTTAAAAATCATTTTCTAAAAAATAACAAATCCATGATTGGTCATTTGACTACTTTTAGATTTAAACTTTACAATAAAAAGCCATTTTCTACTTTTTCCTACCCTTAGTGCTCAGGTGAGCGATGTGGCCCATGGGCCTCTTGTTATGATAGTATTGTTTTTCTGAAGTTTAGTTAAGGGACTCCGACCCTCAGCTAGTTAAGACAACTCTTTAATATATAACTTAATTCAAAAAGTCTTTAAATTAAGCTTGAAAATTAAATCTTTTCATGCTACAATTTTCATTATATGCCTCTCAATGTGCTTCAAGGTTCTTTGCAAGGCTCCATAAATCACTTCTAATTTCATATCATGATAATAAACATTGGTATCTAAAATGCTTTTTCTGGATAAAAATTTCTACTTTGAATTAGACCTTTCTGACTTAAGTTCAAAGAACCTTGAAGCTAAAACTCACCTCACCAAAATTGTACACCACAAAGAGGAACAACTGCAGTACTTTGCCTGCATCCTTTATGAATGAAGAGTGATAATTAATAGGCAACATAGAAGTTGAATGAAACTAAATTATGATGTTGGCATAATTTTTTTTCTTTAAAGTTTGGCAACTTAATTCTGCATATTTTTAAATATGTGGATAAATTAAAGCATTGAAAAGCTAGAACTAATTAAACTTAAATCCTTTGACTCTGCTGTAGACATCTTGGAGAACTGTCTGTTTATGTTGTGGCGCCACCTGGAGTATTATCTTATTCACTGCGTTCCTGTCAATCAGCAGACATCTACGTACCAGAGTCAGACTTACAGACACACTCAACTCAGGAGGCTATAAGGTTAGTCAGGCTCTTTGTATCTCAGGTCTTTTTTTATGTGGTACAAACGAGTTTTAATACCTTATGATATCTTTTTTTTCTCGCGCAGTGAAATGAGTTTTGTATGCATGGATATTTCTACCTCCAATTTTAGTTTATACCTTCTAAACAGGTGTGAGAATTTAAGAAAACAGCACGACTGAGTCTAGGTAAATCCAAAATAAGGCAAATTTGAAAGTGTAAGGGGGCAAAAATAAAATTGAATGAAAATAATTTGGTGTACAATGTTGAAATTGTTTATACCTCGGTATGTACTTCCAGATTGTGATTTCTGATAAGTTAATCTTTAAATGTTTACAGATTTTAAACTGGGATTTCTCATTCATCATTTAGAGAATCTGATGCAGACTCTTTACCAGACATTGACAAACAACTTATGATGCAGGGGGTGACCAGTGAAGATGACACTGAAACAGACAGAAAACTCAGCTATACATGACTCACACCTCCAAAAGGTACAGAAAATTGACCATGTAGTGAAGGGACAGATATTCCAAATGTAGAGAGAAACCATGAGAAAAAAGATGAACAAAATTTATATAAAGAAAAAAAATTAATTCATACCTCTCTCACAGTCAACATTTAAAAAAGAATGATACATCCCCCCTTTCCAGCCCAACCACCACCGAAGTTGACCTTTCACCCACAGACAATTATTTCAGCCAAACCTTTCCCCTGGCCCATCTTTAGATATAATCTCCACCTTAAAAGTGTTTTATCTATCCTTCCATGGTTCACATTTAACTCTCTCCCATAGCCATATCGTAAATCTGCAAATTTTTATGTCGATTTTATTTTGCGAATTCGGATCAAAATGCTGTTGATTAATTTTTACGTTTCAAAGTTTTGCGAATGACCACTGCTTTGTTTATTTTTTCTTATTGGTATTTCATTTTTAAGAAAAATATTTTTGCAAATGCATTGAACTCACAAATTTACTAAAAAATTATCTACAGCAAACATTTCCAGATTTATGGTAAATAAAAAGTGTTTTGTCCATCCTTTTCCTCCAGCCTGCTTTAAAATTGGTTCGATGATTTATGAGATTAAATGACTAATGGATATTTGCTAATCCTATGGAACATTAGAATTAGCAGATTTTATGCCATATGATAGAGTACAACTTAATCCAAATGGTATTTTATAATACTGAATACTTTTAAATTGAGAAATACAATGTACTAGCTGTTATTGATCTATGCTTAATTCATCACTTTATTATGAAAAATGTCTGGATTTACATGTATATACACCTTTGTTTGTTTAGGAATACTGTAAGTCCAGGACCCACTACAGCTTTAATTTGTGGAGGCCCTCATAAGGAGAGTAAGAAGACTATTGAGGCTCAACACGGGGAGCAAAAACAGGCACAGGTGGCTCGCTATAGTGAAATGATAAAATTTGATATGACTTTTTAATGCTAAGTTTTACTGACTCTAATTATGGACTTATTGAGCTGATATTGCATGGAACTTGATCTTTTAATATCTGTTGAAATTATTTTTGTCCATGTAATTCAAGATGTATGTGGATTAAAAATAAAATGAAATCATCTACAATGAAAAGTTTCTGAATCAGATAATCTTGTGATTGTTTTGGATTACATACACAGTCAAACCCTGTGTTATTTTGTGTCCAATGTGTCCAAGAAAAAAATTCTAATGAAGTGTTTAATTAATTTATTTTAAGTAACATTTGACTAGATTAAAAGGATTTAGATTTAATTTAGATCAAAGGGCATATTATTCTAGTCCAGTATAATCAGAACTCCACAGTGTGCAGTGCATGATAGCTAGAGGGTCAAATTGATAAAAATGTACAAAATGATATTTTTTCTTTCTTCATGCTCACAAATATACTGTGGTTTTATCAATATTTGTTGAGCACCAATTTTTGAAGAATTTGTTGTTGAGCAGATCCATGAAATTCAATGTTCTTTGAATTGAGAAATACAATATTTATTTGGATAGGCAATGATCGATTTAGTCCTCAAAATTGTGTATCCTTGAAAACGTCTTTTTTACAAAATCCATGATGGCAACGAAAATTGATGAAACCACAGGAAATAGTATTTTCATGAGATATTCAAAGTTTCTTCTTATGTTGGGTCTTTATTGAGCAGTCGTTTCAAAATTGTTTATGAATTATAATTTATATTTTATACCTTATTGATAATATTATTACCGGTATTGAATTATTTTACACAAACATATGAACACGAGAAACTGAACCTGAATCAAACTATATATTCTTGTGATTTTGGAAAAAGTCTCTCTCACAAATAAGTCATTATTTAAAATACAATCTTTTACATGTATTTAATTTTCTTAACCTTAACACTGTAACACTCAGCCACAAAGAGGTTGTCTCTGTTGTCTACACATAAACCACATGGACGCTGTAGATCACAGTTATCAATGTAACGGAGGAACTGTCCGTCCTGATCTAGGATGTGGATACAGTTGTTATCACAGTCTGCTGTCAGGATCTGACTCTGGCTGTCTGTTGTAATACTGACTGGACCAAATGGTCTCTTGTTAGTAGAGGGATGACCAGTGTATCTAAAGCGGAGTTTTCCTGCCTGATTAACCACCACTACTGCTTTGGCTCTATTGTCAGTCACACAGATATCCAGGTTCCTGTTCTCACTGATGTGTTTACTAAAGTAATCAAATGAATACAGAGGTTTACCTTCACTGTCAAACTGAACGTTTTGTTTCTCTGTTGAGCCAGAGTAACGGACAACTTTTGATTGTTTATCATCATCACTGTCCATGGTAACCAGGAGGTCACCAGAGGAGGTACTACAGACATTGAGAGGTCTCCACCATTGCAATCTGATCACTTCGTGTATCTGGTCATCCTTCACTATGTTTACAGTTCTTGTATTAGGGTCGGTATATACTAGATCTCCACTCCTTGTCACTGCTATGTCACGTGGTATGTACCCTGACTTGGTTTGGATTGACTTCAGTAGTTTACCCTGAAGGTTGTAGAGTTTCATGATTTCGTCTCCTCCACCTGTCCAGATTTCATCATCACTCAGACAGGTAACACTGTATAGATGATTATACCCGGTGTCTATGGTGGTGATGAGCTCTGGTTCATCAATCAGTGGTTTGACTGGAGGACAGGATACAGCTTCTGGTGTCTTCATTGTGTAGCCATGTTCTTCTGTTGTAATGAATAATGCTGACAGGGAACCAAACATTTGATGGAGCTGTTCTGTGTTGATCTGATGAGGAGAATAACTTGGTAATGGAACATTGACTTTAGGAGGTAAACTTCTGAATTCAGCATTTCTAGATTTGTACCCAGAGGTTAGGGAGACATCATCGGAGTCCAGTATTTTCTTCAGATCAACTATGCTCTGTTTTACATCAGAAGTACTCTGTTTGATTTCTCTTTCCTGTTTATTTAGAGCAGCCAGGTGTTTAGATTTCATCTCATCAATTTCAGATTTCTGTTTGTTGACAATGATGTTAATTTCTCTGTGCCAGTCTTCTCCTTGTTTGGTGACAGCTGATGTCAGTTTCTCATAATGCTTTTCCAACTTTACTTTTTCAGAGTATAGATCTGATGAAATTTCTTCATAAGTAGGTAATATTCTTTTTTCTAGTTCTTTTAGATCTGTCTTAAAAATTTCTTTCATAAAGCTTGGTTTCTGCAAGATATATTTGAATTCATGACCATGATGTTTCCCAGAGGAGATGCAGGTAGAACAGACAGGAATGTCACATTTCTCACAGTAAAGTTCACAATGTTTCTGGGTGTGGTTTGGACATTTTGGGTAGTTAATGTTAGGGGTAGATTTTCTGTGTTTGTATGGCACAACGTTGTGTCTTTTAGATGAATCAGAGAGATGCTTCCCTACACAGGCCTTACACAGGTTAATCTGACAAAGTTCACAATGACTCTGTAATGCAGCTCTTTGACACACGTCACAGAGGAGAAGCACTTGAGCTCTGTTCAGGGGGTCCATCACTGGGGGTTTTGGTCAAAAAATCAGATGACCCTGTATAAAGTAAAAGGAGGCATGGGTCACTGACTACAGAAATGTTACGCAAATTTAAATAAATAAAATATAAGAGCTATGTTTTGTTAGAGAAATTGTAGGACAGTGTCGGTTTAGAAATAACAGGAAGGATATATTAATTTGTAGTTTTAAATTGACATGTAAACTATCTTATGTTTGATTAAAAAAAATCAGGAAAAAATGTTAGATAACAGTCAAAACAGTTTATGTAGTTAATAAATATGATCTATCTAATCTATCTAAAGTGGCCCGCTCATGCAATTTATCTAATGTATTATACATGTACTAGACTTGAAATCAATAATGATATCAGGAAATGTTTTTCAGCAAGTTAAATTTTCTAAATATAATCTAACCTCACCTGTAAATCCAACATGGCCTCCTGATAATCCCGTACATCACAATTTACTTCCTTGTCTTCAGTCTAAATATTTACCTGATTACCAGGTCATGTGATTTAAATACCTCAGCTATCTATTAAAATATCAACCAATATACAGAATACCTTTAAATTAAAATACATGTAGATTAAAATCAAGGGGTGTTATTAAAAATAATTACTATGGTCATTAAACCCATGAAAATGAACTTAAGAGTCACCCTGTCTATCTTGTATATCCAGCTTTGTATATCATCATATTTTTGTCCATACGAAAAGTCTTTGAAATATTTTCGCCCTTAATTTTGTAGACGTTTGTAATAATATGAACTACATGAACTACCTGGTACAGTGTATTTCTAAGTTTTAACGACGGGTGACTTCATGCAACATGCAGTGGCGTAACATCGATTTTGAAAGGGGGGGGGGGGGCAGAGAATTTTTTTTTACTTGTAAACCTGAAAAAGATGACAAGCCAAAAAAAAAAGTTTGCCCAAAGTCAGAAATCCTATTTCAAGGGGGCTGTGAACTTTTTCTCAATGTCAAATACTTTCAGTACAAATTCTAATGCTCCATTTTAGGTACATCACTTAAAACGGGGGGTGGGTGGGCAACAAACAGGTTTTCAATTAACATTTCCTATAGTAACAGTAAGGTTGGGAAAAAAAGTGGGGGACCAGCCCTCCCCCCCCCCCCACCCCCACCCCCCGTTCCTACGCCATTGTACAATTAAGCTAGGATATGCGAAAATTGCGGTAAAATAAACTCTCAAAGCAGGCATTTTCTTTTAATTGCACGAATGGTCAACATCTTATCTAGCTGCAGTACTGTAACGTTATGATTTTATATATTTGTCTTTTTTTATCCACCTTCCAACTATTTAAAGTTGTCTCTTCAGGCAATAAAGTCGTTAGAAGTACATAACAAATAATTTTAATGAAGCGATTTTAACACTTGTAGAGACGAGTATAAAGGGTTGGAAGGTGTATAAAATATATAAATTGGCTACAGAATGTGTCTAGAATTAGGTAGTGAAAGCTAAAATGGTTGATTGACCAATACTTGAAAGTGGGTACCCCCCTCCCATGCGCGCAAAAAATATTGCGCCGTAAATTGCATGCATCTTTTTTTGCATTACAGGATCTGTACATAGCGTTATGGTCAAATACAAATATATAAAACCATAATGCTACAGATCTGCAGCTACATCTTATCTATAACTTTATGCTAATACATAACATAAATGCACTATAGAACTTTTATAATTGATGCTTCAGTGTTTTTTCTAGGTCTTAAAAACAAGGGCCTGGGCCTTTCTAATTGGGAAAATAGCGACATTTGGTTGATATTGGGAAAAGTATCATATTTAATATTTTTCTATATAAATTCAAATAAGAGGGGTTTTGTTTCATTTGCAGAGTATTTCTTTGACTTATTTAGCATTCAGTCAATCAGTTTTGGGAGATGCCTTTTAGATTTTTATTTGGAACAACACTTTTGATAAAAATGTTACTGCATTTGAACATTTTTTAACCGGTTTGTTTGTTTCGATTCTCTTTTGGGAATTTTCTTCAATGAAATTGGGAAAAACACATACTTTTTACCATTGGGAAAGGGTCCTTATACAGGCCCCCTACGACCCCTAAAAAACCCTGTCAGCTTTCACACATTAATTATTAGGTTGGGGTTATAGATCCATTTTTTTATTAAAAGAAAAAAATAAGTAAATAAAAAAATTAGTTAGGTGTCTGTGCTTGCACATGAATCATATGTATTCCTTTTAAGAACTTCCCTTTGATACCAATAATTTGAAATTAAGTTGTTTAAATGAAGACTTAGAGTATGATCTACTAAGTAATGATACTAATGAAAAAACTGAAAACCCTGATCGCCATAACTTTTTACTGGTAAAAGGGATGGGGGGGAGGGGGGGGGGGGGTAAAGGGGCAAAAATTTTATCCTGTTTTAATCCTAGTTCTTGATCTTAGAGTTTGAAATATATTTGAAAACTTTAATGTTATTCCATATAGAGCTTTCATCAACTGAATCAGTGTTTCACAAGATCATCTTCTTTTCAAATTGTCTCATATGAATTTTAAAAACCTGTTCATGTGCTGTATTCACTTTTTATGTCAATTTGCATCGGGTTCAAGATTGAAAAAATATTAGTTTCATATTGGCGTCAAATCAAAAAACCTCAAAGTAGCCAGTCGGCAGTTGTACACTGGGCCTATAATATTAGACAAACACTTCTAATAGTGACACGAAAAAGAAGGTAAGTTATATCCATAATGTTCTGTTTTCTGTTATCCTAAAAGCA